CAACACATGCAAGAACTACAGCAATGAATTGCTAAGGAGGAACTTTACATACTCACTTCTGTATAAACACACCGTTGCCCTGGATTTGACTATTTTACGATACCATATCTATTACTGACGTTACATGTTCGATGACCTACGGTATGATCATGAATGATGAAAATTATAACCCATCTTGTACTACCTCAGCACTGACCTGGACGTGATGAGGAATACCACAAAACACCATAGAAATGATAACTCATCTTTTGGCCACAATTAACCAGGCATCTAAATAAAAAGCAGAAGTACTGACCACTATACCACCATATCGGAGAACTGGAAGGGAAGAGAACTAGCCATAAGATAAAGGACCATATTAAGATAGACCTTAAGGAAATAATGGGCGTAGGTATGGACTTTATTCAACTGATCTGGGCTAGGGTCACGTGGTAGACTGTCGTGAACCTTTGGGTTCAACAGAAACCAGGAAATTTTGTTACTACCTGACTGACCATTAGCTTCTCAGTAAGGCCTATGCCTCATGGAATGAGTCGAAACAGCAGAGTTACACTTTGCATTTATTTTCTTTTATATAATGCAAACAAAAAATCTGAACAGTCTCCCCGTCTCTTTGGCCTTCAAGGTCCCGAGAGTCTGTTCAAGTGGGTTAACCATCTCATTCCTATCATCTATTTATCCATTTAGAGAACACATATTTACATCTTGTAATACGAGGGTCACTCCAGAAGTAACGCAACATATTTTTTTAAAAATTCAATTCTTATTTTACAACTTTGCTATTCACACAGTGGATAGGTACAGCCTTTAGGAACTAAAATCTCACCACAAGGAATGGTGGCAGCATTATCATACGCTTGCACCCCTTAGCAACCCCAAGTAGCCCCTCTTCCCAGCTCCCCTTCCTCAGTTTCGCTCGTTGCGGCTTCTCGGACTTTGTGGTGTTCGCCACCTCCTGTAACGCATATCTTCGATATTAAACAAGCATGTTACATCAAATGAGAGAGTGTTTATAGGAAGCAACCATGTTTACCTACAGAGAATAAAAAATACATTACAAGAACTGTGAATGCACAATATGGCTGCCTATAGTATGCAGTCCTACTTTGTACTTAAAAGACAGTGTTTACAGATTCTAATCTTCTTTAATGGGCCACAGTCTCCTATGCTTCCTATTTTCATAGTACACCCACTCCAACCGATCTGATCAAGTAAAAATTAATTTTTTGGCATTCTCATGTCAGTGCTGGCATCAGAAAATCTTTTCTTTTGCTTATGATTCCATACTATCGTCAACCACTGCCTTTCACTCGTTCTATCTACATGGTTATTCCATCTTCTATCTCTTCAACTGTATTATAGATTAAGCTTTCTCACATTTCTTTAGACTAATCCTGTACACACACAGCACAGTATAAACTGATTCTAATTATTCTCTCCTACCTGTGGATATTGACAAATAATGGAAAATGAAGGCAGCTACAACACTAATTACTTAATACGAAGAGGGAAATGTGGAAGGGGAAGACTAAAATTATGGAAGGAATATGGAGATTGGAAAGATAGAGTCATGGAGCCTAAGAATAATGTCAAGAAATAAAAAAGGTATTCTGAATGAGAAGAACATACAAGAAACAGAGAACCCAAAGATGTGGAATAAATATGTCACTGCTGATCTATGGACAGATCTCAAAACACACTAAAAGCACTTTAAATACCATTGTAATTACCTTTAAAATACAACAATTTCAAATAATGAAATGTGATTAAATGATCACCAGGAGATATCAACAGCAACATCCCTTTTACAAAGCAACGATAGTTCGTAACGAGCGGACACACCTGACCCAGCATGCCAGCCGTCAGAGGATACGCGATGTAGCAGACGTCAACGACATCGCCTTCGCCTGCTGCAGATCCTACCCCAGACAATAGATCCTGCACCACAAGTTTGTGATCAGTCTGGTCTGCCACTGCATTCACACGGGCCAACCCCACCTGAAATATTATGAGCTTCACTTAGCAGACATATGAGCCGGGATAGCTCAGTCAGTATAGCGACTAGCTACGGGCTGGACGACCGGGGTTCGATCCCCGACGTGGGCAGAGGATTTTTTCTCTATACCTCCACTCACCCCAAGCGCCTACATGGCGTATAGTGGGACAAACTTTATTTTATTTTACTTAGCAGACATGCACAAGGGCACAATACAGTCTCCTCAAAAATGTACCAGCTGTACTCACCTCTTTGGCAAACTCTACTGCATCATCGCTACTCTCAAACATCACCGACCAGTTCTGCATCTGATCATCATAAAATGTGGCATAATTGTTTGCTTGCACCTGAAACACAGCACATTCTGCTATGATTGTATCAGTCCGAACTGGTCTGTCTTCTACCGTGTGCAATCCTTATACTTATATATGTGGTAGAGCCAAAAAGATCCTAAATTTTTTCCTGTATGCGCTTACCTGTCATCGTGCCTGGTTTTATAGCAAACTGCCTTCAAAGTAGTTCCCTTCTCTCGTCACACATTTATGGTGCCTGCCACTGGCTCGAACCACTTCCGAAGACCTTCTCCCGTGGCCTAATATACCACCATCACGGCTTCTTTCACTTCTTCTGCCGACTGAAATTAGCATTCCCTCGGGAAAACTTTTATTCTTGACGGCACGTAGTACAAGTGGCTGGAAGGGCTAGATTTTGAGACTAAAGACATGACAGAAGCACAATGACCTTATACCATTCTTGGCCAGATATTCCCATGCCAAAACAGACTGTTAAGTTCCTGTATTATCAACGTGGAGCAGCAAGTGTCCAGACTTCCAAACTGAGGGCAGCTTCTTGTTGACAGCAAAGAATGTCTCTGAACACAATCTCATTCATGTAATGCACTTCCAGAATAAACTCAGGGTTGTTAAAGAACACCACTGGCCTTTCCTTTGGGGAATCAATCCCCAATAACTGTCAGCCCTCCTTGACACTTCTAATTCATATGTACACTGCAGCCCAACCAATGGCATTGTTCCTGCAGACTTCCCTGGTCATGTTGTAACTTCATGAGAATGTCTTGCCCAGACACACACAAAACTTATTGATCTCTCCCTCTTCAAACTGTGCCTCCAGATGCACCAAGTTCTGAAAATAACAAAATTCGCCGAACTCAACAGACTCATGTCAAATATTCTCTGTACACTAACTGAGTGTGTATGCTAAAATGAATTTCTGCTGACAATTTCCCCACATATCCATGCATGCTCAGAAACGAAGACTCGTATAAGAACTGTGTTGTTCAACTCTGCTAAAAGAATTCACAAACCTTTTGACTCTACCACATATATTACGCATTCCAGTGTCATGAAAAATATTTGATTTTCAATAATTTCTGCTTATATTCAACAGAGAGATCGTTCTTTCTTCCGCGGCCTGTAACGACCATTACAAATACTATGGAACGAGCGTCTGAAGAAGACACAAACAACATTATGCATATTCAAGATTTCTCTTAGCATCCACTGGACTAAAATAAACTTTGACCTTTCTAATAAATTTCATCTCTTGCACAAATCATTAAGGGCCAGGATAGCGTTTTCAACAAAGCAGTATGTAAAAGTGTGCGCAGGCAGAAGAAAATATGACATTGGAAAGATAGTACAAGATACTTCACATAAATGTAGACTATTGTGAGTAATGTTGCAAAACACTCAGAGACTAACAGCTAAAGTAATGGAATCTGTTTCAGTTCTTAAATGTGGTACATGTCATAGCAGAGCTTGAAATATGACTGAAATGCTAAGATTTACAATACTGAATGCCATGGAAATGACATGTACTTACTTCACCATCAGCTACTAATTCTGAACATTTCAAGAATATTCCCATTTCGTGGCAAGGGTAAAAAATGTAAAGAAACTCACAAATATAATACTTTTATTTTCATCACTCCTTTTAATTTGCGCCTTTATGCACACAGATGCAGGACATATGAGTATCACATGGGTTAAAGTATTAAATGGTCAGGCACTATGACCTTTATGCAAATTTAAAGACCACGCATATACGATTCAAAGTTCAGAAACAATTAGGAACTGCAATCAAGCAACAGTTATCAACTCTGTTCTTTGCAAATACCCTTATCACAGCTTTATAAATTTATGGACTGCTGTGCTTCTTACGCTGGTTTTTCTTTCTATCACTTTTGCCTCACCACAAACTGGAATGCGGATGAGATGCGTGCACTGGTGACATGTTGCTGCTTCCCCTTGTACAGCAGCAGCTGGTACGTCTGTGATGCTGCATTGCCAAGGACTGCTGCACCCAACTTCCCTTGAGCAATGTAGTTGCCATCTGCCCTGCAAAATCATAAAGCTTAAGAACATGTCTTCTTTCTGCCTCTTGCAAGTTTCCTTCACAGGCTATTTAATGTAACCAAAAGCATGGTTACCAGATTATATAGTAAAAGGGAAAACATCTCAGGTGTTGAGAAATCTGCAGCCTGGAGTGGTGGTTGTAAAACTGGAAGTCCACAGCAAGCTATACTGTCAAGAGGAATACAACAAACACTTTCTGTTGTAAATTTCAGAAAGTTACAATTCCATATGATGAGCTGGGGCAGCTCATTCAGAATAGTATCTGACTACAATTGGGGGCTCAATCCCCAGCAGCTCAATCCAGTCCAGCTCTGGGGCCCAACCAGCCTCCTATCAAATGAGTACCAGGAGGCCTCTCCCCAGGGGCAAAGCATGGCCATAGCATGACACTATAATTCACCTATATCTAGTGCTGAGGTCAAGAATGAATAGGAGCTATACCTCTCCCCCCCCCTCCAAATACCTCCACAGAATTACTTTACTTTTACAGTTCCACTTTAAAGAACACATTAAATACATTAAGACAAAGAAGACCTGAATTGAAATGCCAAGTGCTCAGTGGTCAGAAATCACATAAAATTGGGGCTAGGCTTGAACATACGCATCAGAATTCCATTAGATAATTTGCACAGGAGACTGGGGTTTCAAAATCATCAGCACAGACACACAAAACTTTTTGTACCCATTTAAGAAAACAGTAATGCATACCTTGCAACCATGTGACCTTACTAACACAGTGAATGCAAATATTTTATGGAGGTGTTGGGAATGTGTATAGAGGAATGGAGAGCATTCTCAGCATCTGCTGTAATCAGGGTACATTTTTTAACATGCTTAGATTCTAGTTTTTGTAGTTCTACAAGTAGTCCAAATGTTTGAAAACTGACATTGCAGGAGGAGAAGACTCTTCCACCTTACGTGTTCAGCAATTTGCAGATACACAAACATGATGCACATCAGCCAACTCATTTGTCCAAAGTTCTTTTCACATAGTCTACCCAACCTACAGCCTTTGACACAGCATATTTTCACAAACACTATTATGTTTGTGGAACATAAAGGCAGACGTTACCCTTACAATTTATATGTGTGAACTGCCTTGACAGCAATGATACTCAATTTGGCTGATGACGGTGCAGTCTGCGAACTTGATTGTCCAACGGCTTGCCCCTTCACACTTTGACTTTCTGCACGCCCTTTCTTTGGTTGTTTTGGAGCAGTATACGTCAGAGACGTATTGCCCTCCTGCGATGATTTTCCAATCCCGAACAATGACGCAAGCTTGGAACTGCAACATTTCGACAGAAATCATAATGCCGCGAACGTGTGCAAATTTGCATTACAAAGAATGCCGGTTTGAAAGCAAGCTTCCCTCACCTGGAGCCCTGTGTGAAATCGTCATCATCATCTCCTCGAAACATGTTGAGATATGTTTAGGTTAAAGAAGTAACACTTCAATCTACGTACAAACCATAAAAATCAACCACGCTTCCACAATTAACACACCCATAACCATACCCCACATCAGTCAGATGATTGCAATTTGCACGGATTATCTTACTATTCTCTTAGATTATACCAACATACACATTGGTAACTCAATGATGAAAGAACGCAACGGACCGACATCAGGAAGAGAAAATACGATTTCCAGTGTAATGACATGAAATCAGGGAATTGAACCTGATGATAGCTACATTGGACTGAAACATAGTCTAGTGAATGGAATGTGAACCGAGTATTAAGACTGAGGAACAAGAAAATCCAATAATCAAAATAGCCCACCGGGATGTTACTCTTTGGACAAGGGACAAGTTGGAATTAAACCATGGTTGGAGCCACTTCCAAGAGCTCAGTCGGTAACAACGTTAACTACCATGAACTTGTGATTTCAATGCGATAACACTCGATATTCTCGCTTGCAATCGATTCTATAGAACCTGAAAAGCAGAAGACTATCACATTCCGTTTCTATTGGAACAAGACACTGAGGCGGTGAGGAGTGTCGTTGTATAGGTGCTGAAGTGAAAGGAACTGGAGAGAAAAACAGGAAAGGACGTTGTGGTATAACACATTGATATCCCCAAGTGCTTGGGGGGAAAACTGCCAACGTCACAGTTTGCTGTAACGACCAACTCTTCTAACTCATCAAGGTATGTTGGTGTGTTTCGTCAGATGATTGAATATGTGTAATACGCTTATATAAAAGAATTCATTACAACCTGAAACTTCTAGTTTCATTACAAGTTATTCTCCAGTGTAGTGTTGCATATAGCATTGTCTGCCCTCTTTCCGTTTACCGATTACATAACGTATCCAGGCTGCCTTTCAATGTGATGTAACACCTTTAATTCATCATTCAACACGAAACCTTTACAGGAACGTGTTAATTGATGGGACGGCCACAGATGATTATTCACAAGTTCAACTTGGCTGCCAAATGTGTCAAATATCGTGAATTATAAGGCGATTTCATGTTGTGCCCTACTTTTTTTTTTAAAAAAATTAACTCACTTGTGTAGCTTCGTTTGATGGTTTTTAGTGTTTTAGAAATTAATAGAAAATTTCGTGTTTTCTGAATTCATTTTCCTAAATATTACGAATATGCTTGCTAACTAAAGGAAGGTGTTCTAAAGTTAGAGTTTATTTGTATTCCATAGATCCTTGTTTGGGCTGAACTACAGGATGTAGACAATGTCATAATACAAGTACAGAACTTATTTCACGTATAGATTGACAAAAACTGAAGAATTTTCAATAAAAGTACAAAACCTTATTTAACAGGAAGAGATACGTAAAGCTTCGTAATTGTCAATAGAGGGAAAATAATCCAAACCTCCTAGTTCAGCATAAACCACAGAATAGAGGCTAGCAGTCCACAGTATACACTTATGCATATGCAGTGTGCAAATGATTTCAGAACTAGTTTTTTACAGTTATTGTAATCCTGAGATCTAAATTGTTAATGTTGATTGCATAGTTTGTGTGCGAATTTTCAGATTTTGACAGAGTTCTCCTCCGTGGTGACTACTTTGCTATTTGAAATTGAGCTTACAGTAATGAGACCCCTACTTCTATTGTTCTTAGTTGTTTAGGTTTCACCCCTTCACAGCTGTTGAGGATGTCAAATGAATGTCAGAAAACCTGAGATGTAGATAGGATATTTAGGGAAGTAGGTTGTGAAGATATTAATTTCACAGATCTGGTAAAAGGTGAAGCTGCCCCTGATGCTTGACTTGTGGTGTAGCTCCACATTTTTCAACCTTAGACAGTGCAGTCACGTCCACTTTATCCCAATACACAGTACTCACTGGATAGGAATGGGTTTGGATGCAGTAGCTAAGAGAGAAATCTCCTACCCATGCCAGGAATCGAACTTTGGTTTACCAACCTAAAGTCCGGTCATTATACTGACTGAGCTGCCCAACTCTTTATCAGGGTAGGTCTGTTCAGTAATAATAATGGACTGCAGGGTTCCGTCACAGCAGGAACTTCTCAGAAGCGAAACATTTATCAACTGCACAGGAAAAACCCTGACATGGTATACTTCATTGCGTTTAATGATACGGCCTTCAGCTAGCCCTTAGTTTCGAACACCGAGTGTAGGATACTGTGACTGGCGGAGTTCAGGAGCAGTGACAGTATGGCGCCAAACAGCTGCACGTCGGCTTGTATGCTTCGAATGTTCCTTCCAACACAGTAAACACAACAAACCAGAAGTTGAAAAACAACGTTGAAACTGATTTAACCAGATCTTTTAGTGGCATTTCTTCCATTTAATGTATAATATTCATGTCTCCAAGACTCGATCTCCAATTCCTCATTCTTGAAAACTAGGTGTACCACGCGGAGAACATGACTGTGAGACATTCCGTAAGTCTGCCAACCAGGGTTACCACCACAATCCAGCCACCTTTAACCTGATGAAACCGTTCTGCCGGGAATCGAACAGGACTGCTGACTTGAGCTATTGCTCATCCTACACGGAATAGTCTGTTGGCAAATTTAATTTGCAGGTTATCAGCCAGTTATGATTTGCACCTAACTTCGGTTCCTAAATGATATACTGGAATGCAAATTCACTTCTAATAGGAGATAACTCAATTTGAATTTCTGACGATAAGTACAAAATTACGAGGTCATACATGTTATTTTGTGAACGCCTGTTCGGACATCTTCATGCTTTAAATGGACGCAGATATAAGAATTTTATTTCGTACGATATTCGTCCTTGATATATGCATGTTGTCCATTTTAAAGAGATGGCATTGTTTTGTCCGTGTAAATAACGAATATTTAGATCAACGTAGTACCGCATTGTACAAACCTTAAGTTGCTTACGATGCAAAAAAATTAAAACAAGCCGCGTCAGGTGGTTTAATGGTGAATGAACCATTTCTTTTTTGCGAAAGCTGCACATTATACAAAATTACCTTGTGGAGGGTCAAACATATCGAACTTATAATCAATTTATATTTGTAATTTGATGGTTGTTCTTGAATGAATGACGAAGTTGTATTTCTGTTCTTTTATAGACAAGGCATCTCAAGTTATTTAAAGCGATTTTAAAGCAAGTTATATGTGCCGTGTAAATAAGCAGTCCTCGTCCATGTTTGGTATTCGGCTGCGGGACTGGGGAAATCCACGATATCTGGCACAGAACGAAATGATCCAGTACATCCGTCACTGTACCTTTGAGCTGTCGATTTGTTTACTTAACATGACTATGTCCGATTCTGAGGAGAGTTGCGGGAAAAGCCTTGGAGAGGAACTGCAGTGGTCTTAGAATTCTGCATCTTGATAGGAACGCGTGAAAGGAAGTTTACGCCATTTGCTGTTCGTACTAGGGCTCTAGAAAGTTAGCCAACGCAGCCAAGCCACATAACCGTCACTCTGACTGACCCACGGGTCCGGCGGGCTAGTTGACACTGACGCCTAATAGCATCTTACCATGAACTCGCGTTCTTCATTGTTTTTTCTTTCTTGAATTATGTGTCGACGAGTAGAATCCTGTGGGATAGCATATGGAATTGTCAGCGCGTGGAGTGTTTGTAACGGACTCCGAGGGATCGGGGTTGTCGATTTATACACAAAATGCTTGGCGTTTCTGTTCCAAAGAATTTGATGACGGAAAGTCTGCACTTTAGGAATGCTCAAGGCTACATATGTTTGCTGACGTGTATCGATCGCGTCGTTTGTTGCAGGACAAAACATTTTCAATGCGTGCTACGTGCTCTGCTCTTCTTAATATTTTGTGTTCTCACACGATGCAAGACGAAACCTTGCAGTTCTCGTGTTGCCTTGTGATTTACATTGACACCTAATCAACTGCACGAGACCGAACGTATTCGGAAGTTCTCTGGTTCAGATTTCAACAGAAAAACCGACTCTTCCCGACTGACGACGCCTCAGAAATTTTCCTCAGTTCAAGATAAATGATCGGGCAGCACCTGTAGAGGTGGAGAAAACGTTGTCATATAAAGCTACTGACTACGTCAATAACCTGGAATAGAACAGTAGGATTACTAAATGATCTGGAGTGCTGAAGGAAGGGCCGTAGCCAATTTTGTCCCTGGAAACCTCAGTGTACGATATTCATTTCCCGCTGTTCCTCGTAAGGAACGCCGTGTAATGTTGTTCGCGAGCTGCAGATTTTCAGGAAATAAAGTTAGAGACAGGCTGGTCCTTTTTGAGAAGCTGATAGTCGCTGGGATAATGAAGTTATGGAACTGACGCCTTGTGTTGCTTCTAATTCCTGAAGGCAAATTCCTACTTGGTACAGTGAATGCCTCTCGGGCTGTCAGGCGTGTATAGCGGTTTAATGGAGAAACACCAACGTTTCTAGAGCCGTCCTCGTCCTGAGGACCACCTTACACGGCTGGTAGCCCGACAAGAATTCGTACTTAGTCGCCGCTAAAGCTTCAGATCATACATCCGACTTCGTACCTTGAAGTCGTACGGTCTGTCAAGCGCTGAAAGCAGACCACAGGTGTTCTTTTTCCTCATGCCACACTGGAACGTCGTCACGCTCCTTCTGTTCTGTTAAGAGAAAGCAATTCGTACCGTAAAAGACTTCTTTGCGTGAATGTAGCACGCGGTGCGTCCTTGCATAACGGATGCAAGAGACTGGTGACGGGACCTGTAGCCACGGACACGCAAACAAGTTCTTTGTTCGAGTGCACTTCGCCCCACGATATGTTATCACCGACGAGGCGCACTATGGACAGTCGCTAGGTGCTTCACGCTCCATCCACATATTCTGCCTGTACCTGCCAGGCTCGCTCATAGTGGTGACGAAGAGATTTTAAAGCTACTGGGATTTCAACCCCCAGGAAAACAGTCACTTCATCACGACGCGTAGGAAAAGTGACGTCATCACAACCTTTGAGTTAGAAGCACCGTTAGGTGCTCTTAGGGTCGCCCTTCAGTAGTTGATAGCATGCCCGGGTCTTGTTGTGGAACCTAGAAGGCCATCATCGAGATAACTAAAACTGGTGATTATCAGACCACATCCATTTCAATATTATGATGCTTTCATCTACGCAAGGTCTCGTCCCATGATATTTCTCAACAAAAATTACGTACGCATTTCTTGTTTCCTCTCTTCACTTCCAGCCCATCGTAACTTGCGTGCATTCACATTCCTTCCGCTCCTACGCCCCACTGCCTGCTAATTCCTTCCTCATCCTGCAGAAACTTCCTTGAAGT